CGCTGAGCGCATAGCTTGGCATCGCATCGAATGCTCCCTCGTTCGCCCTTCATTTATTTTATTTTGAAATATATAAATCGCACCTAAAAAGTATGCTACACTAAACTTTGATTCATGGCACAAACTTTCCGTGTGCGCGCTGGGAAATTCCGCTTTCCTTACGCACACACACTCGCGCACACTTCTTTGCAGCTGTTGCCCTCAACGTTTCGGTTCAACGCTTTTTACGTGCTCAGCTGCCACGCCCCCACCACCTTTAAATTTAGCCGAAAAACAGTGGCAGCAGCAAAATAAAAAAAAATAAGCGAGGGGAAAAAAGCAAAGACTGAGAGTGGGGAAAAGGCAGCTCCGAAAATTTTTGCAATTTTCCCTTGCGCCCATTTAGCACTTGGTCATGATACGCAGTTTTCTCTTTTATTTGCTGTGAAAATAATAGAATCATAAACTGAAACGAACCAGCAGCAGCTCGCCGCGAGCCAGCGAGTGGGGGACACGTGGTGGTCCGCTTTTGAAGTGTTTGATGAAATTTTCAACACTTAATGATAGCGCACGCAAGCCTGGGGGAAAACCAGGAGGGGGGCATGGCCTAGAAAAGTCAGCGAGTAGCAGGGATTTCAAGCCAAAAATAAAGAGGAGCAGCAGGATAGCAGGACATCGCGATGTCCGTCCTGCACAGCACACATCATAAACGTCAACGGCAATGACCGTGCACCGCACACAATTGTGTTAACCAAATGATGCTGCCAGTGTCCCTTAGCTGCCTCCCCCGCAACCCTTAATCCATTTCCGCCACCCCTTCAGTCCAACTCTTGCAGTTCAGTTTCAGTTTCTGTTTCGGCGACTACATAAATAGCAGCCGGACGACGGTGGAAGGCCATCAGCCGAACGGGCCAATAAAACCAACGAGCCACTCCAAAATAGGCTGCATGGAAATGCGCGAAAAACACAGCAAGGACATGGGCAGGGGAGTGCAGAGAGTGCAGGCAGTGAAACAGAATTTTTATATACCCTGGAGGACATTCCATAAAGGTTTTTTAATTCTCGCCAATGAAATATTTAATATTATTCGGGGAGTAACAGTTTCAAAGGACAACTGTGGCGTCTGGCTAAAGGTAAAGCCTATTAAAATATATATAACAATTTTAAAGTCAATCGAAAATGGTTCCAAATAAGCTAATATAGTCAAAGCAAAGCAAGGCCACCATTTAAAATAAAAATAAATATATATCCAGCAAGAACTTTTTGGGAAATAAATTACTTCTACTAGGATAGTTTATTTCAACTTTATTAACTATTTTCCCCTTAATTCCATATATTTCAATTGCATCGCATTTAATATTCAGAAGTCTAACTTAAAGTTGTTCCAGCCAAGAGTATTTGCATTCATTACGCACTTGCAATTACCATATAAGGCACTTCAAGCATTATCACATCATTATTATACCCGAAAATTTGCATGCTCCCCGGCCAATATTGTCGGGGCCCGCTCCTCCCTTTCACCGTTTTCCGCATTTCCCAATTTTCCATTTCCCATTTTCCGCCTTCTCCCGAACACCGATTTCCACCGCGATGGTGTTGCCTGCCTGCTGTTGTCACTGTTGGTCAGCAGCAGCAGCAGCTGCTGTTTTTCTTTTCCCCACATTTTCCCTGCTGGTTGTTGCCGCTTTTCTGTTTTTGTTTATGGCCTGGAATTATGTTGTTAGTGTTGTTTAAATTTTAAAGCCTCTTGAACGCTTAAAGTGTTGCATCGAGCGCGCCAAACGGCCTGCCAATTGCCAAATAAATTACGAAATTTACAGCCAGACCCCCGAAAATGGAGCTGCGGCGGAAAGAATCGACATCGAAAACTCACTCATGCCCCTCACCGAACAGTTTTCCCTCTGCGAATGGCCGCTGAGTGTTGGCCCATTTGGACACAATCAACGGCAACATTAACGATATCGCCTTCAAAGTGCCGACCCCAAACCCAACCCAAGCCCAGACCAGTAACCCAAAAGCAAACCAAACCCAACCCGACCCAGTCGGATCCGAGACCGGGCACGGGTTCCAGTCTGGGTTTGCGACCGAGACGGGGTCCGGGTCCGGGCAATGGCACGGCAAACACGCAGGTCCCCACAAATGACAGACCTCCGAAAGTTTTGCAGGTGAAGCAGATGGCCTTTACACTTCAGCGATGGCAGCGTGAACGAAATTTGTTGGAAAATAGGAAAATGGGAAAATGGAGACTTTGTTCTCTTTGTATATTATTAAAAGTGTCTTTGAATTAATTAATTAAAACCAATATAAAATAGAATAATAGCCTTAGTTTAACCCTCCAATAATTAAGTACATTTTTTTAAGTATATAATTTCCAAATATATTTCAAAAATATCTTTAGAGATTAATTCAAACGCTGCCATCTCTAGTTGGCACTTTCCTCCGTGAGTTTTGCTTGTTGCGTGTCCACTTTCACTTAGTTTTCATCGGTATTTGTGTATGTCTGTGTGTGTGTTAGTGTGTGCGAGTGTGCCGAAGTACCTGTATTAGTGTGTACCGAGAAATTGCGGTTTGTTTGCCAGGTAATTACATTTCGGCATTTGCTCTGTATGGGGTTCTCCGTATGAAGCTCCCTCGCTGCCCCCCAGACCCTCGATCTTCTGTGTGTGGGCATGTCAGCGTGATAATTATGCGACTATAATCGCACTTTTACATGCCAGTCCTGGCGGGGAGAGAGGGGGGCGCAGGGAAAAAGGATAGGAAGGGGAAGGAAAAAGCAAACGGAGCAGATGAAAAGCGGACGGGGCCAAAGGAAAACACAACTTGGAACTTCGAACTTGGCTGAAACACTTGAACCTTAAACGAAATATGTCGTCAAGCGGCAAAAGTCAGCAGTGCCAGCTAATTAACTGGTCGCCAGGTACAGACTTACGTACATACTTCTCGAACCGGCCAAGAGACCCTACCACCACACACACACACACACACACACACAACACACTCATGCAATATTTAAGGCAAGTTTGCCGGCTGGGCTTAAACAAAAGCGAAAGGCATGTTTAATCATAAGAGCAAAAACAACACGGCATGGTCGCCGTTTTCCATTTCCCATTTCCCATTTGCCGTTCGCCGTTTGCCGTGTTGCCAAAGGCAGAAGGTTCTTTTCGGTCCTCGCAGCAGACTCGAGCTGGCCAAGAAGTGACGTCAACGTGGCGGGCATACAAAAAAGGGTTAAGCAAATATTGAAGTGAATAAAAACCATGAAAAGGGAGCCAAGCAAAAAAATTACAACATTACGCTCGTACATACATATATATGGGTCTGGTCTATATGTATATTCGGTTGAAGAATTGGCTTAAGGGATACTGCCAAAATTTTAAGATTTATTCGGACTTAACCGAAAGCCAATAGATTGAAGAATACTTGTACTTATTGATATACGACTGGATACTATTATACTTTATTTTAAATTAAATTATATTTAAAAAATGATTATTACAAAATTCTTTTAATATCCTGTTCTACCAACCTGACTGCAACTGTATTTGTGACAGGCCAAAGCAAAGAGAAATGAATCGCAACGCACACAGTTAACTTCTCTTTTGGCTGTGTTGCGCGGCTGTGGGCGTGGCACGTGGAGAAGGCGTTTCGGCCAGAGCCGGAGCCAGTTCCAGGACGAATTCCAGTGCCAAAGCCAGAGAATGGGCTGCTAGAGCAGCGACTACCAATTAATGTCCTTGTTAGGCAGTGGCCTGTAAAATTGGCTTAAAAAATATGTAACCTTATGCGAGAGCGAGCCACAAACAGAGTACATCTATGTGTGCAACAACGTTTATATAGGAAAGTTTAATCGTTATAATATAAAAATGATTAAAAATATTTTCTATTACACATTATCTATGTTTAAACTGCTTAAAAAGGGGAAAACATAAGAAATAAAAGCAATAAAGGTATAGAGGTCTGCTTTAATCAAGCGTAGTAGGGTTCTAAGAAATACCATATTATTTTATTTAGTCAATATTTTTAACAATTTCCGAACACCTTCCTCTGATTTTCCCGATTTCAGTGGCAGTATAAACGCAGCATATCTGTGTGTGGACAGGTTTGTTTATACAACCACCGAGTGTGTGTGTGCCAGCCGAAGGGAGGCAAAGGAAGTCCTTGCCACTACAATGGTTACAGTTACGTCCTGGCTGGTGTTGCTTTTGGCTTTAAGTGAAATAAAGTTCACTCCGCTTTTTATGCACTCGCGGCTATTATTTAATTTGCGCAGCTGGGCGTAAATGGGCGACAGCTTTGACATGGCCAGGCACGAAGGCTTTTGGCTCTCAGCGGCCAGCTCTCTCGGAATGCCAGGGTTCAGCTTTCAGCGAATCTGCATTTCAGCATTTCATTATGGGTCACCTCATGCGAGGCCGTGGCAAATCATTGGAGCCGCACTCGAATCCGGCTCAAAGCGGTTGCCAGGCACGCAACATTTGACCAAAATTCGGATTGGGGCGCGCACCTCTTCCCCCACCCGATATCTCATCGGAAAATGCAACGTTTTTGCAGATATCAAAGCTGCCGCAATGATTTGCAAAAACCAAGAAGGACACGTCTTCACCGAACAAAAAGGACAAAGGCAATCCGCCAGAGGAGCATCCACCGCAGCCAAATGGATACTAGGGCCAGTTTCAGGGCGGGTATTGGTGAAGCTTCGTCGTCTAATCTGTAAGCATAAATTCCAATCATTTCGCAAATGGAATGTGCAAGCGCAAACCAATAAAACCGCAGAACACAACACAACAACAGATGACCGGGGGCAGAAGGAGTAGGAATCTCTGCCAACTGCTTGGTGTTGCCAGGACGAGTGCAATTTTTGTAACCACAGCTGCTTCACCGTGTATCCGTCATGGAAAATCTTTTGTATGGAGTCTATAATTTGTTTATAGTTATAAAACAGGAAAGAAATTGCATTAAAAGTAATCTTTATGACGCACACTGATTGACTTGGTTTTACAAATCAGTTGTCCACTGACAATCTAATCAAACAAACATATTTAAAGATTCCATACACTTTTGCTGCTGAGATGAACTGTAGGCGTCGCAACACCGTTAACTATAAGCAGAAAGAAAGGACATGCACACTCAACTATGACAAGGAGCGCGTCTGGGAATCGGACTACCTGTGGGTAAGTATCTAAGAAAGATTTTCGGTGATCATTTGAGTTCACAATTGGGCGAGTCAACAGGCCAAGTGCAAGGAGCTCAAGTTGGAGGAGGAGTATCTGAAGTACCAGGTCCGCCTGATGAACAGTTACCTGGGAGTCTTCTTCCTTCTGCATATTTTGGTCGTCGCAAGCTATACAATAGTGATGTTAACTTTGACCAATGTGAGATTTTAAATCCTATCAATATGCGGTTTAAGGCTAATGTAACTTTTTTTTTTAGCAAAACACGGAGCGCATCTATCCAAACGTGGCTATCTTCATATTCAATAGTGTCGTTATGTTGGCTGTGCTAAGTATCAATTTCTTGGAGGACTTTGTGCAGCGACACAGATGGCTAATGGTGGTGACATCGGCACTGGCCGTGCTTAGCTTAGTAGCCTCAGGTTAGACTAACCCTCCCCTCCCATTCCTAACTAATAGATGAAAAACATGTTGATTTTGAGGAATTCAGAATGCAACCCACTGTTTTCTATCCTTGCTCGAATACTAAAATTCAAAATGTCCTTTTCCCCATTCAGACTTGGGACTTAACGCATATCAATATATCTTCCACGACTGGCCCCTCAGTGCAGAAATGGATATTTACGTCCTCTGCATAATCTATATGTTCCTGCCGATTACCTCCATCAGGACGGCAGCTATCCTTGGTTTCGTTGTTAGTGGTCTCTATGTGTTTTACTTTCTGCAAGTGCTCTCCTCTCTCGCGGTGTACGCTTCTCGCACTTCGCACGGCCATGACGCGATCACGATCGACATCTTCCACTATTTGGGCTTCAACATGCTGGGCATTTTCTTCCGCATGATGAACGACACTATGGTTCGGGCGTCGTTTCTCGACCGCCATCAGTTCATCATGGAGGAGAACTGGCTGAACCACGCCTTGAATCAGGAGGCAATGCTGCTGCATAACATTTTGCCGCCGCAGATCGCCAAGACATACATGGGGAGCATCAAGAACAAGATCATGCAGGCGGATAGTGACACGGAGTTCGGATTACGGAACTACCAGAGCTCCATGGCCGTGCAGATCCATTCAGACGTGAGCATCCTGTACGCGGACGTGGTGAATTACACTCACCTGACCACGACTTTGTCGGTGGAGAGTTTGGTAATGGTGCTGCACGATCTCTATGGTCGGTTCGACGTGGCTGCCGCTATGTACAAGGTCCAGAGAATCAAGTTCCTGGGCGACTGCTACTACTGTGTGGCCGGTCTGGTTGAGCCCGACCCAGATCATGCGGAGAATGCCGTGTCCCTGGGCCTCTCCATGATTTCCCACATCCAGGAAGTGCGGTACGTCAGCCAAAGGGAACTAGCCACAGCCACTCACTGATCCAACTCATTGCACAGGGAAACACGCGATCTGGATATCGACATGCGCATAGGAATCCACTCGGGAAGTCTCTTCGCCGGGGTTATTGGCCAGGCCAAGCTGCAGTTTGACATTTGGGGTACGTTATGTTGCCAGAAATATTTACAATAATCAGCGGAAATTTACAGGAGCTGATGTGGACATTGCCAACCATTTGGAGGCTACGGGTAAAGCGGGCTACGTTCACATCAGTGGCAGGACTTTGAGCAACTTAACCCCGTCCATGTACACGATTCTTCCGGGAACGGAAGAAGCCCAGAATGATCCCGTGCTGCAGAAGCACCCGATGAACACATACCTCATAAACGGCACTTCGTCGGCGATCCCGTCGAAAAGGATCACATATTATAGGCGGCAACAATCAGTCATTGACATCAAGTCACGACCAGTTCAGGGCGCCCCAGAAACTAACACGATGGCCGATGAGCTGCGAGAGGACTTTCGCAATATGCCAGTGGGTGGTTTTGAGTAGGTCAAAGGGCGACACACACTCCAAGAGTATTCTGAATGTTGATGTTATTTATTAACCTTCTATTATTCAGCTGTTGGCGATGTCCATGGTACATCTAAAGGGTGCTATTTAATATAAAACTTTCTTTACCCTCAGCTATCGACGCATATTTCCATGCTCTCCTCGACATGGCGAAGCTCCACGAAAAACACGGCGGGAAATCGGAATGTGTTGTACGACGTTCAGAGATTCAACGCTAGAATGGAACTATCAGAAACAGCCGGACTTCATTTTCAAGCGCTCAATACTGATGGCCTGGCTAATTGGGGTTTGCTTGATCTACATTCAGGTGATAGGAAAGTTTTGCATGATGTGCGTAGTGGTCGATGCGTGTGTGCTCATTTTCCTGACATTTCTACTGTTCATCTCGTGGTTCAAGAAAGTGTGCTGGTGGAAATATGGAAAAAATACAGAGGACAAGCAGTACAGCAAATTTTGTTGTATGATATTTCACTTGCACGAAAAGATCCTGCACAGTTTACTTCTGAGGATTTTGTGCTATATTTCAATTATAATCTGTTACTGCACCGTGTTCGGCATGATCCTGGTGAGTTTTGCACGCAATGCAATGAAAATTGCTTACTGAAAACTTTCAGATAACCTGCGATCACGAAGTGTTTGAGTTGGAATACATTGAGAGCAAGCTCTATCGCTACGAGGTGAATCGTGACACCTGCTTCCATCCGTGGGCCGTCACGAACATGATGGCGCTCATTCTGGGAATGACCTACACATTCGCCCGGATACCGTTCGCCCTCAAGGCCTGCATCACCTGCTTGGAGACCTTCAGCTATCTGATTATCTTATTTTCCGAATACCAGTTTGTATTCCAACATAGCAACACCACGATTCCCTATATGCGAGCAGAGATCGCGCACTGTAATCGCATTTTGCTCATGTTTGTCACTCTATACGTGAAGGAGCAGCAGGTTGAATTCAATGCCAAAACCAACTACAGGTGCGTATATCAATAATGGTACTAATATCTACAACTGCAGGCAGTCCCGGAGATTTTCATGGTTCTGAATTGAAACAATTTTTAAACCATTGCCATTCATAGGCTGAACCTGAATTTGAAGAACAAGCAAACGGTGGCCAGTGCAACCAACCAATCCATCATAATTCTCCTTAACAATATTCTTCCATCTCATGTTGGTGGGTTTCCAGTAAAAGATGCCTTTGTACAAATAATTTTCTTTCTTCTATCCCACTAGTCGAACTTTATCTTTATAAATTAGGCAAAGCCGAGCTCTACTATGAAAATTACCCAATGATCTCCGTAATGTTTGCTAAGCTAATGAACTTCAAAATGGATTTGACCAGTCTACGCGTGTTAAATTGCATAATCACTGAGTTCGATATTCTGGTAAGGCGATCCTTTCACTGACACTTTGGCTTAAGTAATTATCCTTTTTATATGGCAGCTGAGTCGCTACAAGGAGTATTACTTGGTGGAAAAAATCAAGGTCGTTGGCTGCACGTATATGGCAGCATGTGGGTTAGATTTCTCCCTGGCAGCAAAGGTTCGAAGAGGAAATTCGTTTAGAGAATCCCACCACTTACCGGTTAGGCGTACCTTGGACAATACAGATCCCGATTCCGAGTTTGACACCCAAGACGAAGTAGTCTACCTGATGACAACCTTCGCTTTGGACCTGATGCGCACCCTGGCATCCTGCAACAGGGCGTACGCGGAAACGCCCTTTGATCGGAGTCTGTCTAGCACCGAGATAGCCATTGGGATTTCCAGCGGCGAGATCATGGCTGGGGTAGTGGGCGCCTCACAGCCGCATTACGACATTTGGGGCAATCCGGTGAACATGGCCTCGCGGATGCAGTCGACGGGTCTGCCGGGCCACATCCAAGTGACCGAGGAGTCTGCCAAAATTCTCATGGACTTCGATATTGTCTGCCATAAGCGTGGTCTGACCTATGTGAAGGGACGTGGTAAAATACCCACATATTTTGTGGCTATTGATGATAAACTAAAATTTTATTCGACCACCTCGGAGCTGAGATCGAGAGCTTCGAGGCGTTTCACTGTCATGTCAATGATTCAATCGTCGGTTCACTCATCCAGTAGCGGTGACAACAGTGAGGACTATCGGAACAAGGAGGAGGTTGAGTCGGAGAATGAGTCGGAGAATGAGGCACAGAATGAGTCGGAGAATGAGGCGGAGAAGGAGACGGAGATTAAGACGGAGAATATGAAATAATAGCTTGTTTATTTCATCTATGTTTACATAAATATATATATTTTTTAAACTTTATATACCCCTAGACGGGGCAGACTGTGCATATGTATTCTTTTTTGAGGTCTGTTTTTCTGCAAAAAATATTTTTGGGTGGTTTCAAGAGCTATATCGAGGTATAGGGTATAAAAATAAAAGTGCTTCTTTAAAGGTATACAAGTTAATTCAAATAAAACAAAATTATATAGAGCGAAATTAGAGTTTTACAATATTTATATGTATATGTTTCCTATAAAGTAAACATTAAAATTATTGCCAAAAAAATAGATGTATACTTCGGCTCTCATTTAAAATTTGCATTAAATAATAATAAAATATTGCAAAATTAAACAAAAAAAAATATATGTATACATATATATAAAAAAAAATATATATTTTAAATATTTTTAGAAATAAGAAATTTTAATCGTCTCCCAAATTCCTTGCAAAGACCCATTCAATGACCCTTAAATGTAAATAATGAGCTTAGGTATTTTATATTCTCCCACTGGAAGACTCGAAAATGCAGGAAATGCAAGCGTAAACTGCCTTCCTTTGAGTTATATATCTTCTTTAGATAATCATCCACTTTCCAATGCTATTTCGAATAAAATGTTCACAAAACATGATCTAGTTTTGTTCTCAGTCAAGTAGACCATTCATAACTGCCAAAAGTTACAGTTACAGTTAGTACAGCTGCAATATAGTTTCAAATCGGTGTCTAATCCTACAAAACGAAAATCTAAAAATAATAATGCCTTCTTCGCGGAGCAAGTGCGATCTCAAATATTTCGAAGATATAGTGTGGGAACCCAAGTATCTCAAGGTAATTGTGAAGCCAGGTCTGATTTATGTTTATATTCAATAATCAAACACCCTCAGAAAAAATGTAAGGAGCTTGGCGTAGATGGCGAGTTTAATGCTTATCAGATACGGCTCTTTAGGAGTTACGTACGCGTGTTCTTTATGTTTCATATAACCGTTACCATTATTCATTGTTTATTGGTAATCTTATTAAGTGAGGTAAGCAATACACTTTCATAAATAATAAAAAAAAATGCATGTGTTCTTGTACATATATACTTGCAGCATAAAAAGTATATCTTCTACGATGTGGGTATATATTCAGTCAGCTGTCTGATCCTCTTACTCATTCTTAGCATTAATTTCCGCAAGAAAATAATTGAAAAGTATACGTGGATAATGTTCGTCAGTTCTGCGTTAGCCAGTTTGACTTTGGTGTGTGCGGGTGAGTTCCGTATGGGAGCTATCGGTTTTTCCTGGGGTAATTTCACTTGTTTCGCAGATCTGACCCAGTGCCTATTCCACTATTACTACCATGACTGGTTGTGCGGCTCGTTCTACGACACATACATCCTATTCATGATCTACACATTTCTGCCGATCAAAAGCCTCTCCGCCGCCTTTGTGTTGGCGTTGGTCGTCTCCTCAGCGTACATCATGTACTTCATGCAAATCGTCTACCTACCCAAGGGAATTTATGCATCAATGTCTAGCGACATTGCCCTCCATTTGTGCCTAAATGTGGTCGGCATCCTTTATCGCACCGTTAATGACATGATCGTGCGATCCTCATTTATAGACCGCCACCAGTTTATTAAGGAAGAAATCTCTCTGCGGAACGCCCAGCGCCAAGAAAAAATCCTGCTTGACAGCATCTTGCCCTCCACGTTTTCAGAGCTTCTGCAGAAGGACATTAAGAAAAAGATCATACAATCTCAGCGGCTCGCCTCAACTCCAATGCAAATCAGCAACGCCTTTAGGCGCTCCATGGCCATACAGATCCATTCGGACGTAAGCATTCTGTATGCGGACGTGGTAAACTACACCCACCTGACCACGACTCTCACCGTGGAGAAGCTGGTGACCACCCTGCACGACCTTTACGCCAGATTTGACTTAGCCGCCCAGCACTACAGGGTGCAGCGCATCAAATTCCTGGGCGATTGCTACTATTGCGTGGCAGGTCTAACGGATCCGGATCCCGATCACGCGAACAATGCTGTGGCCCTGGGCATTGCCATGATCGCCCATATTCAAGAAGTGCGGTGAGACCCTGTCTGTTATATTTAATTTACAACTTTAAAACCTTTCCATCTTCCAGTGCCTCGCAAAATTTGGATATAAATATGCGCATTGGAATTCATTCCGGAACTCTGTACGCAGGGGTGATCGGTGAATCTAAGCTGCAGTTTGACGTGTGGGGTAAGCAGGTTAATCTCCTCCCATGGGACTTATTTACTTTTAATTGATTTAGGGCCGGACGTCACAATAGCCAATGTCCTTGAGTCAACTGGCGTTCCTGGTGCCGTGCACATCAGTGAGGCCGTGTTGAGGAATCTGACAGCGCGTAATGAATACACAATTGAGAGAGGTCCTGAAAGGGCACAGAGAGATTCCCTCTTGCTAAAGAATAGAATTGTCACATACCTAATAGTATTCCCACATAATGTCCCTGATTTTTCGACCGATGACCAGATGTTCTCAAGCTCCCAGCCCAGCTCAAATTTGCCTCATGGCGTTACTGCCGAGTTCAACGAGGAATTGCGTGAGGAATATCGGAAGATGCCAGTCATGAAATATCTGTGAGTAGATTCAATTTATTTGAAAAAAAAAATACTTTTGCGCGCTGTTAGAATATTTATACTGCTTAAATTAATTTATAAATTATTTTTTTAAACGATAGCCCCTCGATTTTATGGAAATTTTGGTGCCAAGAGCCATCCAAAGATCCATTGAACTCGCAAATGGACATCTGTCTGACCTTCTACGACACAGATCTAGAGAAACCATATTTAGGACAGAGTGACTTTTTATCCAGGTATTACTTCATAATGGCCTGGAGCGTTGGTGCTGGCTCAATTTACATTCAAATTATGAATTCTGAAAACATTGAACTGTGGTGCCTTGTAGTCGACAGCTTGATGCTTGTGTTTTTGACTGTAATGGTCTTTATTCTCTGGTACAAAAAGATTTGCTGGATATTATATGGCAAGAAAAACAAACCGCACACTTACAACCGCCTCAGCTGTCTTATATTCCGCATCCATGAGAAAATTCAGGAAAGTCTGACCATACGCATTTGCACCTTCCTGCTCGTTATATCATTGTATTGGATCATAATGGGTATAAGTACGGTAAGTCACCATTTATTAATTTTTTAAATTTATTTTGATTTTTTATTTATCGATCAGAGATGCAGCCAAGCAAAGTTTATCTTGGCATATATTGAGGAAAGGATCTATCACTATGAGGCCAACCAGTCGCCATGTTTTGCACCGTGGGAGACCACTAGTATGCTGGCTCTGATGACTTGCATGGCCTTCACCTTCAGCCACATCCCTTTTATGCTCAAGACGATTGTGGCCTTTATTCAAGTTCTCATATATAACATATTAATTTTCCTTCAGTTCGATTTCGTTTTCCACCACAGCATCACTTCGAATCCGTACTTTCCCTCTGAGTATTCCCATGCCTTTGTGGTAATAATTACCTTTGTCACCATGTATCTTAAGGCGAAACAGACCGAGTTCTGTAAGAGAGTCAATTTTAGGTGAGCTCGTAGCTTTAATTTATTATAAAATATTCATAAAGGGTGGTGAAATATTTTAGCTGGCGCGTCGAGTTGGAAAAGAAGCGGTATGACGCCTCAATAACAAATAGCTCGATCACGATTCTTCTGAATAACATTCTTCCCAGTCATGTTGGTGAGTCGCGGACGTGTTGATAGATTCAAAGTTAGTAAGGATTGCTGATAAAATCCTTATTTTTTGCAGTCGACATCTATCTTAACTCATTAGCCAAAAACGAACTCTATTATGAAAATTATAAAATGGTATCCGTCATGTTTGCCATGTTATCAAATTTTGAAATGAATCTAAGCAGCTTGCGGATTCTCAATGAGGTTATTACCCAGTTTGATCTGCTGGTAAGTGGAATCAATGTTATTATATATATTTTTGTATATATTTTTATAAATGTTGTCGCGAATACAGTTATTGCACTATAAGAAGCATTATGTGGTTGAGAAAATTAAAATCGCGAACTACACATATATTGCGGCTTGCGGATTGGATGTGAACTTTGCTGGCTCCACCAGTAAGCCATTGAAACTGGGGTCAATGAAAGGTAAGTCATGCATGGCAATTATCATTATAAAGTATCTCTCATCGTGGCTTTGCTCGCAGAGGAGCGCTTGGAGCTGGTCAGCAAAGAAGATCACGAGGAGGTGGTTTTCGTAATGGCCTCATTCGCCCTGGACCTCATGCGAACCCTGGCCAGCTGCAACAAGGCCTACAATGGCATCGTCCAGGGATACAACTTAAGTGACGGGATGATTACCATCGGGATATCCAGCGGTGAGATAATGGCCGGCATCGTCGGCGCCTCGAAGCCACACTACGACATCTGGGGCGATCCGGTGAACATGGCGGCGCGGATGGAGACGACAGGTCAGTCGGGTCACATTCATGTAACGGAGGAGTCGGCGAATATTCTGGAATCTTATGGCATTCAGGCCAATTACCGCGGCCAGACTTTCGTGAAGGGGCGTGGCTTCCTTCCAACATATTTTCTGGGCATTGACAAGGATCACAACTTCATCACAAAAAGGGGGACACGGCAATTAAGTTTAGCTGTTTAACAAGTAAAATAAATTCTTTAATACGCCCTCGATTAAATATCATTTTAATAAAAGTTATTGTTTTATTGCCAATAAATTATTGGTACTGACGTCAAATACAAATTTATGTGGATCGAAAATAACTTATAGATTGAATGCCACAAAAGCTATATCTCAAACATAATATGAGCCTATGGGAGAAATTTCACTATTGTTTTTAAATATCGAATATCTTCTCTTAATATCTAAATTTAATTTAAATTTATAAATCTAAATAAACCAAAGGTATCAGAAAGTTAGAAGTCTGTCAAAGGGTTCTAGATTTATAAAGTCTTAATCAGGCAATATTTATAAATCGCGATTACACATATTTATCGATCGGCCAAATTAATAATATGACTGCCATGGATTTATTGCAAATTCGTTGTTTATTATTAATAATATTATATTGTAAATTATATAATTTTGGAATAATTAAAAAAGGTTTCAAATACTTTTCCCTAATCGCTTAGACACTGACCATCTACTCAAATTGTACACTCAAGTACTTTCAGACAAACAAATATATATACATATACAGGACAAAACACAATACACAAATATACGAAAGTTTCGTTAAAATGACGGTCCACAGATTAAGAAAGATTCACACCATTAGGCAGAAAAGGAGGAAACACGGGACATGTACGCTCGATTATGACGATGAGCGCCTTTGGGAATCGGGCTACCTAAGAGTAAGTACCTGAGAAGACTTACCGCTGACCATCTCATTACGCAAGTCACGAGTCAACAGGCCAGGTGTAAGGAACTCAAGTTGGAGGAGGAGTATCAGAAGTATCAAGTTCGCCTGATGAACAGTTACCTCGGAGTCTTCTATATTTTGCATATTGCTGTCACCGTTATCTATGTTGCACAGCTGTTGCTATTGACCGACGTAAAAGATAAAGCCTTATATAATGTGTTTTTCGAATAATTATACTCTTTTACAGCACACGTATCGCGTCTATCCAGACGTTGCTACCCATATACTATTAGTGGTTTTAATGCTATTGGTTTTGAGCGTCAATTTCTTCGAGGACTTTGTGATACGCCACAGATGGGTAAGGGTGTTTACCTCGGTTGTGGCCTCACTTCTTTTATTGACCGCAGGTAAGTTTAAATAACATACCAACAAAATTTAGAGGCCAAGAAAGCTTTTATTTGTATATACTATTCATTCAGATTATTAGAGTACTTCTATATTTCCTTGTACCCATTCAGATTTGGGACTGAACGCATATCACTATATCGTCCACGACTGGCCCATTATATCCGCAATGGACATATATTCGCTCTGCATGATCTACATGTTTCTGCCGATTCCCTCCATTAGGGCGGCAGCTCTCCTTGCGCTCTTCGTCAGTGTGTTGTATGTGTTGTATTACTTCCAAGTGGTCTACTTCCTCTCGAAGTACGCCTCTCGTTCCGCTCACACCTATGACTTGTTCATGTTGGACGTCTTCCACTATTTTGGTTTTAACGTGATGGGAATTTTCTTCCGCATGATGAACGACACTATGGTTCGGTCGTCATTCCTCGACCGCCATCAGTTCATCATGGAGGAGAATTGGCTGCGCGACGCCCTGCACCAAGAGGCAAAGCTGCTGCACAACATTTTGCCGCCACAGATCGCCAAGACATACATGGGGAGCATCAAGGACAAGATCATGCAGGCGGATAGTGACACGGAGTTCGGATTACGAAACTACCAGAGCTCCATGGCCGTGCAGATCCATTCAGACGTGAGCATCCTGTACGCGGACGTGGTGAATTACACTCACCTGACCACGACTTTGTCGGTGGAGAAACTGGTTATGGTGCTGCACGACCTCTACGGCCGATTTGACATGGCTGCCGCTATTTACAAGGTCCAGAGGATCAAGTTTCTGGGCGACTGCTACTACTGTGTGGCCGGTCTGGTTGAGCCCGACCCAGATCATGCGGAGAATGCCGTGTCCCTGGGCCTCTCCATGATTTCCCACATACAGGAAGTGCGGTACGTCAGCCAAAGGGAACTAGACACAGTCACTCACTGATCCAACTCATTGCACAGGGAAACACGCGATCTGGATATCGACATGCGCATAGGAATCCACTCGGGAAGTCTCTTCGCCGGGGTTATTGGCCAGGCCAAGCTGCAGTTTGACATTTGGGGTAGGTTATGTTGCCAGAAATAGTTACAATAATCAGCGGAAATTTACAGGAGCCGATGTGGACATTGCCAACCATTTGGAGGCTACGGGTAAAGCGGGCTACGTTCACATCAGTGGCAGGACTTTGAGCAACTTAACCCCGTCCATGTACACGATTCTTCCGGGAACGGAAGAAGCCCAGAATGATCCCGTGCTGCAGAAGCACCCGATGAACACATACCTCATAACCGGCACTCCGTCGGCGATCCCGTCGCGAAGAGTCACACATTATAGATGGCACCAATCAGCCATGGACATAAAGTCACGACCAAATATAGAATCCTGGAGCTCTTATAACTCGGTGACCGAAGAGTTACGTGAGGAGTTTGACAAGATGCCAGTGGGTGGCTTAGGGTGGTAGGTCGAAAGGCGACAATAACAGAGATACCCTTCTATTATTATTTATATGGAGGAGATATCTACCTATCCATTGATTTAAAACTGGGCTTACCTTACAGGTATCGACGGTGTTGTCGATATGGCGAAGCCCCAAAGAATGAAATGCGGGAAATCGGACTCTTTTGTGCGACGTTCAAAGATAAAACGCTGGAAAAGAATTATCTGCAGCAGCCGGACTATATCTTCAAGGGCTCAATACTGATGGCCTGGCTAATTGGGGTTTGCATGATCTACATTCAGATCATTGGCAATGATGATATTTGCAGACTATGTGTTGCCGGCCATATGGTTGTATTCACTCTCCTGACTTTTCTGCTATTCATCTCGTGGTACAAGAAAGTGTGCTGGTGGAGAGATGGGCAGAACGAATACAAGAAGTACAGCAAATTTAGTTGTATAATATTCCACGTATACGAAAAGATCCAGCGCAGTTTATTCCTAAGGATTACTTGCTACTTCCTGACTATAGGCTGTTACTACTCTTCGCTCTGCATGATTCTGGTAAGTGAGACTAATTTATATTCGGTTTAACTTTTATAATTTATAAACAACTATGCAACTGTTACTAATTTATTGAACCTTGCAGGTGGACTGCGACAAAAATAAGTTTGATCTGGAATTCATTGAGAGCAAGCTCTACCACTACGATATAAGTTATACCACATGCTTCTCTCCGTGGACCTTTACGAACATGATGGCGCTCATTTTGGGAATGAGCTACACCTTTGCCCGGATCCCGTTCGCCCTCAAAACCTGCATCGGCTGCATGGAGGCCTTCGTCTACTTGCTGATTCTGTTTTTCGAATACCATTTCGTATTCCAGCACAGCAACACTACGGCTCCCTTTCTGCCATCGGAAGTAGCGCACTGCGACCGCATTTTGCTCATGTTGGTCACTCTTTACATGAAGGAGCGTCGAATCGAATTCAATGCCAAAACCAACTACAGGTGCGTATATCGATAATGATACTAATATCTAAGCAACTGGATCCGACCTTATCGTACCACTTAAAGAAAACCAAACCCATTATCTTTCACAGGCTGAACGTTAATTTGAAGAACAAGCAACAGGCTGCGACTGCAACTAACCAATCAATCATAATTCTGCTTAACAACATTCTTCCTGCTCGTGTTGGTGAGTTATCAACCAAGGATCCTCCCCTCCTAATTGTCAGTAAAAATACTTTTCTTGTGTCCCTAAAGTCGACATTTATCTAAATAAATTAGCCCAACATGAGCTCTACTATGAAAATTACCGAATGATCTCCGTAATGTTTGCCAAGCTAATGAACTTCAAAATGGATTTGCCCAGCCTACGCGTGCTAAATTGCATAATCACTGAGTTCGATATTCTGGTAAGACGACCCTTTGACTGTCATTGTATGTCTTGATCAATTATCCTCTTAATATGGCAGCTGAGTCGCTACAAGGAGTATTACATGGTTGAAAAGATCAAGGTCGTTGGTTGCACTTATATGGCAGCATGTGGCTTAGATTTCTCCATGGTATCATCGGTTAGAAAGGGGCGCCTCACTGATCGTAAGTTAAGCCATAGATTTTTTTAGATAATTCCTTATCCTTATCTCAAAATATTTTTCTATATTTCAGTCGAACGGGATCGCAGCATTAGCCGCGAAGAGACTTTAGATAGTAATGACGATACCTACGATGGAGTGGTCTACCTGATGACAACCTTCGCTTTGGACCTCATGCGTACCCTGGCTTCGTGCAATAGGGCCTACGACAGCATGCCCATTGATCGGAGCCTGTCGAGCACTGAGATAGCCATTGGAATTTCCAGCGGCGAGATAATGGCTGGCGTAGTGGGCGCTTCACAGCCGCATTACGACATTTGGGGCAATCCGGTAAACATGGCCTCTCGGATGCAGTCGACGGGTCTGTCGGGTCACATACAAGTGACAGAGGAGTCCGCAAAAATTCTCATGGACTACGGTATCCTCTGTCGTCCGCGCGGTCTCACCTTCGTGAAGGGACGCGGCAAAATTCCGACATACTTTGTAGAATTAGACGAAAATTTGAGCTTTGTTTCAACGAACCCTAATATGACACTGGAATCTCTGAAGTTTTTATCAAACTTTTCTGGGGAAGAAGAGCTTAACGAATCGGACAAAGGTGAGACTAAAGGATCAACGCGGTTGAACACATAGTGAGCTCTGATTCGAAGACGAATTCGAAGCTAAAGCGCTCATCCTTTGTCCTCGGATCCATCTTAGTCTCAGCGCGCAGTATGTTTGCAGTCTGAGTTGTGTATTTTATTTATGACAGCTGAAAACATGTATATATTATTAAAATTGTGTGTACTCCATATACACTTTAATTGTTTTGTGTTATTTATGTTTTTTTTTAAGGAAAAATGTCACAGATCGGAATAGATACTTGACTTTAATATATTAACGGCGCTATAGCGCTATAGCGCAATTACGAAGAATCTATCAATGTAAAATGATTATGCAACAAAAGCCAGTGATTGCTAAAAGTCATATATATTTTCATTCGATATTAAAATACTAAATTACAAATTATTAAATATTAAAAAAAAAATTGTATTTAATTTTAATAGTGGTAAAAAGAGTTTGGCATATTCAGATAAACGTTCACTAACCTAGTTGTTTTCCAAACACACTTCCCTATATTCAAATTTAAAATAACATTGAAAAAAAACTAGTTTTATTTTTAATCAGGTAGCCCTAATTCGATCTGTCAAAGATTTGAACACTGCGGTAATACAGATTCAAATCGGTGCACCATTTAATTTAACGAAAATAAAATAAATAATGTCTTCTTCGGCGAACAAGTGCGATCTCAATTATCTAGAGGAGAGGACGTGGGACCGCGTCTACCTCAAGGTAATTGTGAAGCCAGGTCAGATTTATGTACGCATTCAATAATCAAACACCCTCAGCAAAAATGTAAGGAGCTCGGCGTAGAGGGAGAATTTAATGCCTATCAGGTAAGACTCTTCAGGAGTTACGTACGCGTGTTCTGCTTACTTCATATTGGCGTAACGGCTATTCATTGCATATTGATATCGACGTTGAGTGAGGTAAGCTATCCATTTTCACGTTCCTAACTCGTCCTCACGCGACCTTTATAATCTTCAGCATAAAAAGTATGTCTTCTTCGATGTGGGTATTTATTCAGGCAGCTGCCTGATCCTTGTACTCATTCTGAGCATTAATTTCTGGGAGAAGCTAACTGAAAAGCACACGTGGATAATGTTTGTCAGTTCTGCGTTGGCCTGTTCGGCTTTGGTGGGTGGGGGTGAGTTCCGTGTGGTAACTTTATCTTTTCAGGGGTAACTTCACTTGTTTCGCAGATCTCACCCAGAGCCTATACCACCATTACTACAATGACTGGGGGTGCGGTTCGTTCTACGACACATACGCTGTGTACATAACTTACTTGTTTCTGCCGATCCTGTGCATCCAGGGCGCCATCTTTTTAGGGTCTATGATCTCCATCATGTATATTGTTCTCGATATGACGGTCCTGTCCTCTAGATCCACTGATGGGGCAGCCGCCATCGTCAGTATGGTCCTTAAAATTGTCCAATACCTGAGCATAAATATGCTCGGCATTTATTGCCGCGTGCTTAATGATATGGTTGTGCGCTCCTCGTTTATAGACCGCCACCAGTTTATTAAGGAAGATATTTCTCTGCGCAATGCCCAACGCCATGAAAAAATCCTTCTGGACAGCATCCTGCCCTCTCAGTTCTCAGAGCTCCTGCAGAAAGACATTAAGAAAAGGATTACTCTATCTACGAAGCTCACTTCCACTCCAATAAATAACTTCAACGTCTTTAGACGCTCTATGGCCATACAGATCCATTCGGACGTAAGCATTCTGTATGCGGACGTGGTGAACTACACCCACCTGACAACGACTCTCACCGTGGAGAAGCTGGTGACCACCCTGCACGACCTTTACGCCAGATTTGACTTAGCCGCCCAGTACTACAGTGTACAGCGCATCAAGTTCCTGGGCGATTGCTACTATTGCGTGGCAGGTCTAATGCATCCGGATCCCGATCACGCGAACAATGCTGTGGCCCTGGGCTTTGCCATGATCGCCCATATTCAAGAAGTGCGGTGAGACTCTGTCTGTTATATTTAATTTACAACTTTAAAACCTTTCCATCTTCCAGTGCTTCGCAAAATTTGGATATAAATATGCGCATTGGGATTCATTCCGGAACTTTGTACGCAGGGGTGATCGGTGAATCTAAGCTGCAGTTTGACGTGTGGGGTAAGCAGGTTAATCTCCTCCCATGGGACTTATTTACTTTCAATTGATTAAGGGCCGGACGTCACAATAGCCAATGTCCTTGAGTCAACTGGCGTTCCTGGTGCCGTGCACATTAGTGAAGCTGTGTTAAGAAATCTAGGGGCGAGGGGCGAATACTCAATTCAGAAGGGTCCTGAGAAGGCAATGAAGGATCCTCATTTACAAAAGCATAGAATTGTCACCTTCCTAATTGTATTCAGCTCACAATATGTCCCTGATTTCGTCACCGATGCACAGATGAAGTTGAGCTTCAAAGACGACGCGAGTTTGTCAAGAAGCGTTAGCACTGTGCTCAACGAGGAATTGCGTGAAGAATATCGAAACATGCCAGTCACACGAATTAAGTGAGTGCATTCTGAAATATAGTTGAGAATTAAGATTAAGATATTTTAATTACGAAATCTCTGACTCAACAGCTTTAAGGCACTTTACTCCATATGGGTAAAAAAGGAATCGAGATATCCGATGAAAAAGTCAATGGACTTCTGCCTGACCTTCTACGACACAGATAAGGAGTCAGCCTATTTGAAGCAAAAGGACTATTTTTTCAGGTACTATATGCTGTTGGCTTGGGCTACCGGCCTTAGCCTAGTTTTCGTCGAAATCTTTGATACTATGAACACTGATTGCAAATATTGCTTTGTAATCGACTTCTGTATATTTCTGTCCCTGACTATTCTGGCTTTCATTGCGTGGTACAAATGGATTTGCTGGATTATATATAATAAGAAAAACAAGCCGCATACATATAACTGCGTTAGCTGTATTATATTCTGCATCCATGAGAAAATCGTGGGCAATCTGATCGTTCGCATTTGCACGTACCTGTTCGCAATAGCATTGAATTGGGTCCTAATAACTCTCATTGTGGTAAGTTTTTCTATTGCCTGGATTAAGATAAGGTAATGTTTATTTATCGATCAGGTGGATTGCCGCTACGAACAATTCATTCAGCAATACATCGATGAGAGGATCTATCATTATGAAGATAACGAAATAAATCAAATATGTTTTCATCCCTGGGTTGTCACTGAAATGCTATCTCTCATGATTTGCATGACCTTCACCTTCTGTCACATCCCGTTTCTGCTGAAGACCTCTGTGGCCCTGGGTCAAGTTTTCGTATATTTTATATTAATTTTCATTAAGTTCGATTTCGTTTTCCACCACAGCACCACTACGAACCCATGGTTTCCCTCAGAGTTTTCCCATGGCTTCATAATAATTATTGCCTTTGTCACAATGTACTTTAAGGCTCGTCAAACCGAGTTCTCCAAAAAAGTTTGCTTTAGGTAAGTTGGGACCTAATAAATCATAAATTGTATTTAAAAGGTTTCGAAATATTTAAGCTGGCGGGTCCAGTTGGAAAAGAAGCAGAATGACGCCTTGATGACTAATCGCTCGATCATAATTCTTCTCAATAATATTCTGCCCAGTCATGTTGGTCTGTATGGAATTCGGAGTTACAAAGGGAATGTTACGTTATGATCATTTTCTTATATTTTACAGTCGACATATATCTTAGCTCATTATCCCAAAACGAACTCTATTATGAAAGTTATAAAATGGTATCCGTCATGTTTGCCATGTTAACGAACTTTGAAATCAACCTAAGCAGCTTGCAGATTCTCAATGAGGTTATTACCCAGTTTGATGTGCTGGTAAGTGGTATCAATATTATTAATTACTTCTTTTTTGTTAGTATAATCTTCGAATGCAGTTATTGTACTACAGGGAGTTTTACGCGGTTGAGAAAATCAAAATCGTCAATTGCACGTATATGGCAGCTTGTGGTTTGGATGTGAACTTTGCTGGTTCTACCAGTAAGCCACTAAAACCGCGGTCGGCGGGTAAAGGTAAGTAATCTATGGCAATTGTCATTATATGTTAACATATATCACATCACAACACTCCTCTTAGGCAGGCACTCCCATTCGGGTGAGGATCACGACGAGGTGGTTTTTGTAATGGCATCGTTTGCCCTAGACCTCATGCAAACCCTGGCCAGCTGCAACAAGGCCTACAACGGCATCGTCAAGGGATACAAGTTAAGTGACGGGAAGATAACCATCGGGATATCCAGCGGTGAGATAATGGCCGGCATCGTCGGCGCCTCGAAGCCGCACTACGACATCTGGGGTGATCCGGTGAACATGGCGGCGCGGATGGAGATGACAGGTCAGTCGGGTCACATTCATGTAACCGAGGAGTCGGCGAATATTCTGGAATCTTATGGCATTCAGGCCAACTACCGCGGCCAGACTTTCGTGAAGGGGCGTGGCTTACTTCCAACATATTTTCTGGGCATCGATGATGACTTCAACTTTATTCGGGTTAAGGAAACCCGGAAACCGATTTATGCACATCGCAGTGCTTATATTTCAATGGGAAGTACATACATTTAGATACTTCTGCCTGTAAATAATAAATATCTACAGAAATAATAGTTTTCTTCACGTATATATAGAGGTGATTACCCTCTGCTGGAAATCTAACTATTGGTTTTTAAAATTGTATCAACTATTTGGAATACGAAAAGGCAGAACTAAAAACCATTTCGGCTTCGTTAAATATGGGTGCTTATCGACTTACGGCTACATTTTTAATGATGGCTTAAAATTTAAATATGCTAATATGGCCCTAATGACTTTCCCATATTGTCTCCCCATTTCCCGGCCACTCTCTGATCCAGAGAGTGACACGTACTTTCCATTGAAAACATAATTAATGATTTTGCTACGCCTATCCATTAAGAGTGTCGAAAGCAAGAGCATGGCAGCCGAAAACCAACATCAAAATCAGAAGCTAAGTAGATTTGGCCTTTTCAGCCCAGTCCCCGTCGCTTTTCCCCCTCCCTCCCGTTCCCAGTTTAATTGAATTAATCCCGAACCGTGTTTAAATTCTGAGTGCCTACTGATTCGAAGAGAACCCTTTTCGCACGTGCAATTAACAGCTATTTTTACAAGCAATTTGGAAAATATGATGGCGCTGTCAGACCTGTGCAAGGTGATCGCCTGCCGCCGCCACTGACACAACCTCCCTTTGATGCTGATGATGATGATGCTTGTCATTGTTTGCTGTAATTGACGAGTCCGCGCCGGAGTAAAACATCAAAAAAGCCCGACGACACGAAAATACGAATGTACGAAAATTCGCGTTAGACAAACAGCCATTTCCGGCGAAGGCCCCCAGGACTCCACATTCCCATGTGTCCTGTTCCGCACCGAATCGAGTTGTTTTATCCGCACGGACACGGACCAACGTTCCTTTGACATGTAAAACGCTGTTCGCTCTCTCATCCAAATACATATTGATTAAAAAAGTGAAAGCACTCGTTTTTCGAGATAAAAAACTCTGTAAAAACTAATTGAAATGCATGTGTATTTCAAATGTGAATTTAAATGCGAACTTATTTGCCCTGAAAACAGGTGAGAAAATTAAATAAAAATTAGTCTCATTGAGGGTACACTAACGAGAAGGAGTATTGGGCTTTTAGTTAGTTTTTTTATCATTATTATGCCAAACTTGGACTTCGATTGCTGTGTTGCAGTATTGCGACTGCTATTAATAAATTTATCAAAAATTAAATATAGGTTATTTCCTATTTGTCACATTGTTTGCTATTTCAAATTGCAGTCATCATGTTTGTTGGCCGAAAGCTTGGTTTTCGCCGGCTAATTGAATATTTTCATATAGATGTTTGGTGGGGAAAAATAATAATAAAATTTTAAAAAGAAATATGTTGTCATTTTTCTAAGCATAAAGTTATTTAAGATATATATTTGTAATGTTTTTTAGAGACATTTTGCCCTGCGCTACCGTTCTCTACAATCAATAACAATACGAAAAATGTTTCCATTATAAAAAGTGAGAGGAAAAAAAGGAATAAAAGGGAACGCAATCAGAATCGAGTTTCATTCTCAGGCCATTTGCCATTGCCAGAATCCAAACTAACAGCATTGACTCAAGTCCGTACCAAAATGTGAAAATGCGAAAAGAAGCTGAACTGAAACTAAACCCTACCGAGCTAACTAATCTTTTTTTTAGGGATTTCTTTGCCTTTTTTGTAGCTGCCAATCCGAGTGACCAAAAACGAAAATGTCATCATCAGCAGTCGAGCTTTGGTCAGAGAACAGAGGGAAAACCCAACCGAACTCGGAAACTACTATGCTGTATTCCCCCCCTGCACACATACATATATGTATTTGGATTTATACATATATACTGCCACTCAACGTAACTTTTTATGTGCAACATAGCAGAATGATTGTGTTCCGTTCCAGAAATATCAGCACAACAAGCACGGCAACAACGCCCGGCCACAGCAACAACATCTTAAGCCGTTTCGCATAAAATTTCACACACCATTTTAGCCAAGTGCCACATTACCTGCACACAAGATGGGACTTCAGGAGAGTCCTCTTGCTGCCCCGGCTCCTGCTTCGTGTGCCTCGAATGTCCTGCGAACCAAACGAACGAGAAAGAAAAATAAAACGTTGGAAAAATGCTGGAAAACACGAAACTGAACATAAAAAATACCTTTTGACACATGCAAGCGGAGGCAAATGGGGCGTGGCCATAGCTGGCCAGTCGAAGGCTGTTGAGGAAGGGTTGGGGAAGATGGGATGGCGTCCCATCCAAAAGGGAAGGCTTAAAATCAGCGGGCAAGGACTACGGACTAAAATGGCGCCAGCCAAACGAGCTGAAAAGGAAAAGAAAAATCTTGAAAATTGCATTTTAAGAAGAAGTTCGTGTGGCTATAACGGAAAATCTATAAACGCACGCGTCCACATACGGCTAGATTCATATATATTTATATATATATGGCAAAACGGAATGCAGACGATGGAAAAAGGATACTGGAAAGCTCAATCTGGCCCTGACTTGGGGCCACAATAGCCATTCGGTTATCCAGTTGGTCAGCAAAGCATCCTGGACCAATCCAATACAATTTTAACGATAATGTGGGCCAAAGGCAAGCGATTCTGAAATTGATATGGCCACCAAAATGGTGAGTATTCTGAAACGCTCTCACCGACCCCAGCAGCTGAGACGCGGATGAATGCAGGCTAAAAAATATCACGTATACGCAGCATAAACACAATAAAAACAAGATCCGGTTGTAGCAAAATAAATTGTACTATATGGGAAGAAGGTGGGTAATAAACTTATTTATAAATATAATAAAATTATTACTTACAGCTTTAATTAAATTATTTCACTTCCTCTCTGTACTTGAAGTCAGTTCATGGAAAATAAATCTGTAAAATATTTGCCCTTTAAGCAACATCTAAAAGAAAATTCCACCCGCTTTGAGTATCAAATGCGTTGCCATAACAATTTCCACTTGCACTGCCAGCCGGCCTGCTGCTTTGGCAGAAATCTAGATCCAGAAGCGCGAGAACAAAAATTATGGCAACAAATTGCAAGCAAACAAGCAACAAACAAGTGAATCACCTTTAACGCCGCATGCCCTTACGCCTTACTTCGTATTCTCTTGGGCTGTCAAAGGTGGAGGATCCTGGCATGAGCCTCAGAAGCAGTGGCAGGACGACTTCGTGTGGCGAAGGCGTGGCAGGTTTTGTCATAACTTCAAGGGCCTTCGGGCGGTGCAAGAAAAATAATAGTAGGGAAAGAACCCAAAATGACAAAAAACTGCACACAGAGAAGAGCGGCAGACAGCAGACAGGTTGAACAGCTAAAGACCCAGACATGCATGTCAAAGGACAACGAAATAATTGGGTGTGAGTGTGCACTGTGCAAAAGATGCTTAAGAAATTTATGAATAATAATTTTTAATAAACATTGTCGTGAAAAAAATAATAATAAAGAACACAAGGAAGGTATTATTATTAAACATACAACAAAAATTATTCAAATAAAATACAAATAAATAACAATTTTAGAGAATTTAAAGTTAATACTTAAGAACTAAAGTCGGATCTCTTAAAAAATATAGCTATTTTTGTATAAATGATTAATGTCTACTAAACGACGACTCTGTGATTTGTTTAATCTTCAAAGATTTCAAGTACTTCGGTCCCCAGGGCCCTGCCTCTTTAGATCTTATTTGTTGTCGGCAAAAAACTTTAAATAGATTAAAGTATTTGCCGAAAGCTAAACACGCGTTGCCCTGTTATCAGCCGAGGGCCTCTCGTGCTGACCCTACACTATCAACGTTCTGAGCAGCGGGTTAAAATTGTACGTTTTTTCTGCCCAATGCCTTAGTTAGTTTGTGAAGATGGAGAGACTTACGCGCATCGTGTGTCTATTGTCGCTGCTTGGGCTTGCAGCCAGCTCTAACGAGGGTGCCCTGAGCCTCATCCTTCAACGTATGGACAGAAGCGCCGATCCCTGCGAGGACTTTCAGAAGTTCTCCAGCGGCAAGTTCTTGGAGGTTCATGAGGGCGAAAATGTGTACTCACTGCAAAACGTAGCTGTCCAGAAATACAATGAACAGTTGCAGGAGCTGTTCGATGATCTAAAGGACACGAACTTCATCGATGAGTCCAGTGTGGAGGAGAAGGTGTGGCAGTTGTACAACACCTGCAGTACAGCTCCCAAGAAGACCCATTCTTGGAAGCATTACTTGCAGCTAGTGTCACCGAACCTTGACCTTCCCTGGCCCCAGTTCACGCCCCGAGGAGGTGAGTGGCCCCAGGAACGATTCCAGTGGCTGGTTACCCTAGCCCGTCTCCGTCGCTTTGGCTTCAAGAACTTTCTTATACCCATGGACCTGACCACGAAATCGAATGACAGCAGCCAGTTGTTAATTAGTTTGGGCAGCCACCCTATAAAAACGATTCCAGAAGTATCCGATACGGAAGAGCTTCTGATTTCCCTCAAGGTCTCCAGGGAGAAGGCCGCTCTCCTGGCCAGCAACATTACAGATCTGGAGAGTGATTTACAGAAACTGGCCGAAGAAGACAACAGCTTGGTACAATATATGACCACTGAAGAGTTTGAGGAGCGGACCAGCATTTCCATTGGGCATTACCTCGAGATCGTACTGGGCAGCTCAATCGACTCCGGTTTCGAGCTGGAGGTATTACAAATTACTTACCTAGAGGGTTTGAAGAATGTAATCGAGAAATACGACAGCGAAGTGGTGGCCACTCACCTGGTGGTCGGCTTCATTCGCTATCTGAAGAGTATGGATGGCAGTGAATCCAACGGAGATCCTGCCATGTGTGCTGCCGCCGTGGGTGTTCTTATGCAGCCAGCCAGCGAGTTTCTCTACAAGAATCTTCACTTCGGAGAGGAGGAGCTACAGCGGAATGTTGAGGAAGTCCAGCGTATATTCAAGATCATCTCGAACACCTTCATGGCTCGACTCGCAGACAATCGTCTGAACCTTACCTCGGCCGAGGTCCAACATCTGCAGGAGAAGCTGAGCGCCATGACCGTGAGGGTGGGAAACCTGCCCAATGTTGAAGACCAGCGCAGCTTTGTCACTAATTTCTACTCGGATCTCAACTTAAACACGAATTTGGACTACGCCGAAGCTCAATTGAAAGTTTTGGAGCATCTGAATCGAAAGATTTTGGAGCAGCTTGATCGCCCAATACCCAGGGGCAAAGAGTTTTACCTCTTCCACAGCCAACTAAATGCCGCTACCGAGGGCACTTTCTATGAGACTAACAACATGATCATTCTACCTTATCTAATTCTCCAGGAGCCTTACTTTTCGCCCGAAATGCACGATGTCTTCAAGCTGAGCTACCTGGGCTATCTTATAGCCGGTGAGATATTGATATACTACGATCCGTATTATCTGTCCTTCGACAGCCTGGGCAACAATAGTACTTTGTTGGGGAATTTCGAAGAACATCAGGGCTACATCGATGGAATATCCTGCCTAAATCGTACCGAAACGCGCGCTATAAGCTACCGAGTGATTGATGTGCTTGCTTTGGAACTGGTCTACGACAGCTACTTTGGCAAGGATTCCACGCTGAGCAAGGATCAGCCCTGTTTCTTCAAGGTTCCCCTGGAGCAGTTATTCCTGCTTAACTTCTCGCAGCTTCTCATTGGCAACTACTACGGATTGGGCGATCCGAACGATGTGTCCCTCCACGCGTCGGTGAGCAATCTGAAGGCCTTTGGAGAAACCTTTAGCTGTCCAGCTAATGCAACTTTGAATCCGCCAATAAGGTGCACCATTTGGTAAAGGGAATAATTTCATAAGTCTTTTATATAAAAAAACATAACAAGATGTTAATAAAAAATTCCTTTTAAAAATATTTTTTATAGATTAAAAGTTTGTGCTTAAATCTTATTCAAATTGTGGACTCAATTTACTTAACATTTTTCCTCAGTGCAAATGTGTTGCCGTTTGTGTGCGTTGCTTAACACTCAAAAGCGGAAGTAAGCGTCGTGAGCTGTGGTCGAGGATGAGAAGGAGCAAAAGGAGAGTAAAGCGACAGGAAGCCGGCTGAAGTTTGTTTTCTTGCGGCCTCATGACTGGCACTTCTGTCTGCTGATACTGGTGCTCGTGCTGGTGCCGGTGCTTCGACTCCTGCTCCTTGGGCTCTCTTTTGCTGCTACTGTTGCTGCTATTTCTGCTGCAGTGACAGCAAAAACCAAGGAGCGACAACAACATAGCAGGCCACGGAACACGAAGCTGGCAGAAGGATATACAGACAGCAGGACAGGTGGTGCTGCACTAACCGACACAAAAATATCACTTTAAAGTTTGCCAGTGAGTCCTGTCGTCTGTGTTAGTTTTTGACATGAAATTGCATTACATTGCACACCAGTGCTGATCATCTGTCTTCCTTACAATTGTTTAAAAATGAGGTTATTGGCTTTTAAATATTCCATATTATAAATCCAGCAGAACTGATTGAATAGCTTGGTTATTTAAGTATTATACATGGTTTATGTTGGTATTTTTTTATTGAGATTATAATCACTGAATGTCTTATGGTAATTAAATAATTTATTGTATTATCCCTATCACTTTTTTAATTTTATTTTTAAGTACTTTCTTTGGTTGCCAGCACTGTCCCAGACCCAAGTTGGGTGTTACACTAAGTTGGCTCGGCACTTTTGAACATTGTCTTATTTTCATGCCAACTGTCGTTTGGTTTCTCGAATGAAGTGTACAAATTAGTTGGCCTTGTCACAGGCAGCAACAGCAGCAGCAGCAGCAACAGCAACTGCAACTTCAGCAACAAAAACAACAACTTACTCTTGTCTGGCATCCTTAAGCTACTTTTCATCGATCCGCTCAGCAATTACGTGCAGCGCTCTCGCTACGGAAACAATTTATCAGACTGGGCAAACGACCCGAGAGCTGCTTTTGCCCAGCCGAAAGGAAACAAAAAGTCGAGGGAAGAAACACGAAAACAAGCTGAGTTCAGAGAATGTAAGCCCAAAGTGCATGGTAAAGTAAATTTTATTTAACGGCAACAGAGCAGCAGCAACAAACAAACAAAGTAAGGCGAAATTTCAGCAAGAACTATGGCTGAACATTTGAGATACTCTATGGGTAGGCAAGGACATATGGGTAGATATTTTGGTATATCTAGGAATAGGGGGAACTAAACCTTCTTATTTTTAACTAATCAATTAACAATTGAGCCCAAAACCTATTTAAAAAAATTGTAAGAGACTATATGAAAATGTTACGTATACGTAATATTTTTACAATACTTTAAAGCGATTTTATATCTAAAAATAATAATAAATCACAGTTTGAACTATACCCGTACTTTAATATACAACCTACAAAAAGGAGGCCTTGAATTGCACCTGCAATGAAAATTCCTTTAGGAAAACGTATCCTTGGGGCCAATGAACTAAATCAAGGAACGCCCACGCTGGGGATCAAAAACCCATCCTCGTTTAGTTACTGCCAAATCGTCACATCATTACTTATAGTCCGGCAAAATATAGTGTTTTGTGTCGAGTTTAGCCCAAAAATGGACCGACTCGGGCCAAATTGAAAACGTTTTCGGCTGAAATGCACTTACCGGGCCAGCCTAACCGGCCGCGGCATGAGCCCCGCTCAGCCCCTGGCCATTGACTGACAGGAGCCAGTGTTGAAATTTATTATTGTGCCAAGCAAACGGGCAATTTACCAAACTGCAATTGTCGGAGGAAGCGCACGGGGCCATGGAGACCGAGACGGACACGGAGACGAAGACGGAGACGGAGAGCTAGAGAGCGCACAGTGTCTAATCGTTGCGCTAAATTAACACGTATACGCCATGTGGCCGGCCAAGATTTTTGTCTGCTTGGCAATTGCCGAGGAGTTGCAGGTTAGACGGTCGAATGGTTGCTTACATTTTCCCATGCATACTTTCCGGCCAGCCGCTAGTTTTTCTTTTCTTTATTTGGAAATTTCTTTGTTAGCAAAAAGTACTCGCTGAATTAATGGGTATTTCTGGGCATGGGGAAGACAGCAATATAAAATTCGTTGGGTAAATTAATTTTACTTAATATTATTTAAAACTAAGAATTAATTTAATCCCAAATATATAAAGCTTAAGACCTTTATGGGGGTGTTTAAAAATATATATTATTTATGTTTATTCTTTCTTTGTTTTTTTAAATGTTTATTCAACTTTTTGTGTTAAACAAGTAATACTCCTTTAATGAGATTTGTTAAGGCAATAAAGCAATTTATGCAGTATACATATCCTTTATTTATATTTAACTAAAGCATTTTATTTAATTTTATTTAGTTCATATAATGAACCTTTAAAATAAAATAAATGTATAGCAAAAAGGTATATTTATATATTTAAATTTATTTTCCACTACGACTTGCTCTTTATTGGCACAATCATTTTACCGTGAGCGCCGGATATTTGATAGTCGAAAAGTCCCGCCATTTTTTCCGCTGCAATGCTCACGTTTTATGGGCCACAATTTCACAGTTAGCCAAGTTAGCCAAGTGGAGGTGCCAATATTGTTGTAAACTGCTGATAGTTGCTGTGCTGTGCCCTGCTGTGTGTCTGCTGCTGCTGCTAAATGTTGCTGCTGCTGTTGCCTGGAAAGTGCAATGCGCCAAATGCGATTGCCATTTGCTCCGCGCTCGTTTTGCCTTTTCCCTTCTATCTCCCTGTTGCCTTTTCCCACTACCCAGTCAGTGGCAGTGGTCCTTCGTGAGGAGTTCTCATTTCTGTTTCATTTTTATTGCATTTCATTCGCTTTTCGCCACTCAGCAGCAGCGGCAGTGGTAGCCAGCCAGCCAGCCAGCGAAATGCGAAATACATTTTTAGTTTTCTAATCGACGCGCGTTCATCGCATAAAAATAATGCAATAAACGATAATCCAAACGAAGCCAGCTGCATTTTTTGGCTCGACTTTTGTTCGGTCTCCCGATAATGGCTTGTTTATGGTCTAAAGCGGGAGGGTCTAGCCCGGAATGATGGCTAATATTGGAATACTTTTGTCATGGTTGGGGGAAACGGAAAAGGACATAAAACGGGGAAACTTCACTTAATCGATCTGCTCTTAAGAAATTGCATTTTGTAAAGAAATTGGCTGAAAGGAAATCGCTAAACGAATTTACTGAAATTAAAGAAAGCTGGAAATTATTGGGGGAAGACAGTTCGAAGTAAATTTTATAAAATGTTAAAAATATTAAATTAACTCCATCAATAGGATTTGCAATCTTCCATCAAAGTCTAATCCATTCCCCTTCATTTACTGTGACAACAAACTCCATTTAGCTGCAGTTTTTTTTTGCTGTTTGAAGATTCACCCGGAACGGATATCGAGTCCCATTTCAACTTTAAGTTCAGCCCTGCTGGCATTTGGAATTCATGGCGCATTTAATGAACTTTGGCGACAGGCAGCCAAGCCAGGTGAGCGAAGGACTCGAAGGCGAACAGCTGAGCGCCATTTGGAAGGAGCTTCGGAGAATGATAAACGGCCCGGCTGATAGGGCCAAGTAAGGCAGCGGCTTTTTTGCTGTTCTCCAGTTGTTTGTCTGTTTTTTTTTTTTTTCTTTAGCTGCCACGCGAAATTTAACAACACAATAAAACACATCAAATAAATTTGCGCTGAAATTTCGCTTATCAGCGAGGCGTGGCAGGGGATTGGAGGATGTTTAAGCGGGAGATTTAATGGCAACTTGATAAGCAGACAGCCGGCAGAGTCGCTTTAAACTCATGGTAATAAACTCAGCGAGTCGTGAAGCTGTTTTCAAAATCTAAATAGACTCGCAAAAGCAACTTGAATTTATTTCCCAGCTTCTGTCCCGAAAAAAGTTAAAAGTTACAATAAAAAAAAAGGAAAATAGCGAGTCGGGTAGAGAAACGCGGAAAACAAAGGCTAGAAATAATACCGCGGCATGCATAATTTCAAATGGTTTTTCGGCGTCCTGGCGACCACATTATGCAACACTCCTTTCAGCACACACAGACACAAAATACACTAGAAAAAATAAGGATATGTAATGAATTTATGTAATATAAATAAAACATTACACCTGTCAGAGTTTTCTTTGAAGTAAGGGATTGTAAAAATATTCTTTTCTAGTTATAACACAATCCTTACAATGGTATTCGAACTCTTAGAATTTTATTTCGAAAACCCTATTTCTTGTAGTGTACAGAGCAGACCCCCGCCAACCCCTTACCGCATACTCATTATGATAATAAAAATGCTGAGCGGCATGGAGATGTGGCGTAAAGGGGTCGGGGGCAGATCTGCGTGGGAACGGTCCCCCACGGTCAAAGCCCACAACAACAATTAAAACGTTATTAAGCGGCCGGCGGAGAGCAAAAAAAAAATAGAAGAATGGAAATTATGCAAGGATGGGCAAATGAGTGAGAAGAATAAACCAGGAGGAGCAAAAGAAGGAGGCGGAAGTGGCGGACCACAAAACAGATACAATGAAAGGTAGAAAAGCTAAAAGCGAGTAGCAAATAAATGACAATGCGGTAAAAAATGTTAGTGAATTTGTGGCCAAGGATGTGGACAAAAGGCAGCTCTGCTAATGAATGTGTGGTACGAATGAATAAACTAAATATGTGTACGTTTCAGCACATGTGTGGGGGTTGGTATCTAAATTGGAGTGGCTACAGTGTGCCATCCATACGAAGAAGGGCTGCGGAATAAATTAAAAGTAAATATGGCCTAGATTTGATTTCCATCGAATTTTAGAGAACGAATCTAGCCAAGTATTGCATTTCTAAATGCTAGGAGTAAATA